AGAGGGAGGGTCCCCTAGTGGAGGCCTCTTGGAGCGTCTTGGGGGCCTCTTGGCGGTCCCGGACGCCTCTTGGAGCGTCTGGGGTGCCTCGGAAAGCTTCTTGGGGCCTCTTGGGGTCTCTTGGGAGCCTCTTGGAGGCCTCTTGGGCGCCTGTTGGGGCCTCCTGGGGCCTCCTGGGCGTCTCTTGGGGCCCTCTGGAAGCGCTATTGGCAGCCTTGGGGGCGCTCTTGGAGCCTTCTTGGGCCATCTTAGAGCCATCTTGAGGCCTCGGATGGGCATCGGAAGCGAAAAGGTGAACAAAAACTACAAGCATTGATTTTCCAAAGGTTTTGGAAAGATTTTGGCATCTTCGGGCCTCCTGGGGGAGTTCTTTGGCCACTTGGAGCCGTCTTGGAGCGGTCTTGGGACCTCTTGGAGCATCGTGGGAACCATCTCGAGGAATCTTGAGCCATCTTGGAGGTCATCTTGTGCACTCCCAAGCGCTCTTGGAGCCATCTAAAGCGGTGCCCCCCCCCACACACACACAGGAGGCCACCTTAGTAAAATCAGTGATTTTGGCATTCTCGCCGAGGCCTCTTGGAGCGTCTTGTGTGCATCTGGGAGGCCTCTTGGGGCCTCTTGGGGCCTCTTGGGGGTCTCTTGGGAGCCTTTTGGGGGCATCCTGGGGGCCTCTTGGGGGCCTCTTGGGGCCTCCTGTCCACCTCTTGGGGCCCTTTTGCGGCACCCTTGGGAGCCTTGGGAGCGCTCGTGGGGCCTTTTCTGAGGAGATCGATCAAAGAAGGGGGGTTTCTTTATTAGCGCCCCCCCCCCCCGAAGAGGCCAAAATGGGGCTCAAACCTTAGTAGAACCAATGATTTTGGCTTCCTCGCCGAGGCCGTGTTGGACGCTCCGACCGCTCGCGAAACGCCAGGTCCAGGGGGGTGGGTAGGGAGAGGGGTAAACCCTTCCCTGAAGGGGAAGAAGGGGGTGGAAGAGGAAACACCCTAACCACCTACGCCGTCAAAGGCTGGTGGGATTTCGCAGAAAACGAGTACGTTTCCTGGCGCGTCCCCTGGGACGTTCTGCGGCGCGTCCCCCTGGCCTGTCCCGCGGCGCGTCCCCGTGGCACGTCGCTTGGCGCGCCCCCTGGCACGTTGCAGCGCGGCACGGCACAGCGTACCGCAGCCACAACACAGCCCCTGGCACAGTATCATCAGCATCGATATGTTCAGCAGTGCCACGGCCCATCGCCCAATGGGGAGGTCCTTTGAATTGTTTCCATGCCTCGCGGTTCTGATCCCTTTCCGGCTTTCGTCAAAGGCGCGACGGGCATGCAGGCGGGAAGGTGCGCGAGGGAGCGGGAGGGGAGAGCTAGCAGGGGAGCGCGAGCGGGGGCCGCGCGCCGCTGGAGGGACCCTCCTCGACGCGGCTCTCTGCAGGTTGAGCGCGCTCACGAGCGGTGAATTCTGCCGGCGCACCAGTCAGTGACCAACCTCGCCCAAACTCACGATGCGTACCGAGCCCGTGTCAAACGTTGCCTGCAGGAGTAGCGTGACAAGCAAATGCGGGCTGTACGTGATACCTCCCAGCAGCGCTCGCACGTCGTTTCGGCCGTGATGTCGCGGAGCTGGTCGCGGACTCTGTTGTCGTCTCCGCCGTGCGCGGGGTCCCCCCACGTCACCACGCTGCCGTCGCCTGTGGCAGCGGCGACATCGGCCTGTGTGGAGCAGATGTGCCAGATGTCTTGGATCTGGTCGCGGGCGGCGCTGATGTCTCCGCCGCACTCGCTGCCGCCCCACTTCAACACGCTGCCGTCCCCTGTGACAGCGGCGGAAGCACCAAATATAGAGTAGATGTGCCTGACGTCGTGGAGCTGGTCGCGGACCGCGCTGCAGTCTCCGCCGCATGCGGGGTTCCCCCATGTCACCACGTTGCCGTCGACTCTGACAGCAGCGAAAGCAACACATGTGGAGTAGATGTGCTGGATATAGTGGAGCTGATCGCGGCTGGCGCTGCTGTCGCTGCCGCCAACACCAAGCCACGTCAGCACGCTGCCGTCGCGCCAGCGACCGCTGCGTTCGCCGCGCCCCCACGTCACCACGCTTCCTTCTCCCCTGACAGCGTCGAAAGCAGTCATTGTGGAGTAGATGTGGCCGACGTCGTGGAGCTGGTCGCGGACCGCGCTGCAGTCTCCGCCGCGCATTCTCCGCCGTCACTGCGGCCCCCCACGTCACTACGCTGACATTCCCTGCGACAGCTGCGAAAACATTGTCTTTTGAGATGTGCCTGGCGCCGTGAAGCGGGTCACGAACTGCGCTGGAGTCCGCACCGCGCGCGGGGCTCCCCTACGTTACCGCACCGCGCTCCCGTCGCGCGTGACAGCGGCGAAACCAGCGCGCGTGGAGCAGATGTGATGGATGTCGTGGAGCTGGTCGCGGACCGCGCTGCAGTCCCCGCCGCATACGGGGTTCCCCCCGCGCCGCAACGCTCCCGTTGCCCTTGACAGCGCCGACAGCAGTCA